CCCTGGATACAGAAACTAACCTTCACAGTCCAGCAGCGTAATTTGTCTCAGTACTCCAGCCTGAGGTCGCTCTGCTTCTCTTTTTGTCCAATGGGTGTCACTGTAAACTGTTCAAATAAATGTTCAATGTTATTGTGCGCATGAGTTTGTTTTATCGAGTCACAGATAGACTTGTGACGGTATTCGGTAATGCGATATATCACGGTAATGACTATGCACGATATTGTTATCGTGGGCTCTTCTAAATACCGTGAATAATAATATATTACAAGTTATTCAGAATTTTGAATGCATTTTAAGAATACTTTTCCCATCAGCTGGTCAAAATGCAATTGTGCGCATGAGTTTGTTTTATCGAGTCACAGACTTGTGACGGTATTCGGTAATGCGATATATCACGGTACTGACTATGCACGATATTGTTATCGTGGGCTCTTCTAAATACCGTGAATAATAATATATTACAAGTTATTCAGAATTTTGAATGCATTTTAAAAATACTTTTCCCGTATAAGAAAAAAGTTATTAAACCTGTTATACTGTATTATGACAGCACTTTTGTAAACTAAATTTCAATACCGTGATCATACCGTATACCGTGATAGAATTATTAGCAATTAATCGCAACATGAAAATTTGATACCGGCATATCCCTAGTCACAGATATCCAACTCGGGCTGTACTCTGTTGTAAAGGTGAGTAGAAACGATGTGATACTCAATTTGAAATTGCATTTTGTGTCTTTCGTCGTTTTCATGTATGTTTTCAACAAAGGAATGGCTGAAGGTTTATGTAGCCTCTGCTGCCTAGTGCAGTTAACACCGATGACCCAACACGAAAATTTATGTCAGAAGTGTCAAAACTGTCATAACCTGTCGATTCTCGCCTTATTTCACTGGTCGCCATGCACACCTGTAGACCACGCCCATCTCCGGATCATGACTAAAACCAAACCAACAGCAACGTTAATGAGGACTCTTGCTGGAGCTCACTGACTTTAGACTGAAGAATACAGCGCAAGGCTGACAGCTGACTTACAATGATTGATCTCCCAGCTCTGTCTGTGACCTGGACCCTGGTGCTTCTGGTCATAACTCTCCTGTTTATGTGAGTATATTCACAGGTCAAAGCAACCATTTTTAAGTCTTACTCTGTGTTATAGCTTTTAGATTAATATCTATATTAGGGTGGCCAGATATAAGGTGTTCCCCCGTGGACAGGCAACGCTTTAAAATCGTAAATATGTCCCGGTTTCAGCTGGATCACTGACCGTTTCTTTGAGTCTGAATATCCTCGTTGTTCTCCTAGCCTCCGTGTCTGGTATCGTTTGCAGAAGAGGGAACGCTGTTTCTCTGCCACTGCAACAAGCTGATTTTGCTGATAGTCGTCAGTGTAGAAAGTCTGTCTGCGAACGCTAAGCTGAACTGCGACATCAGTCCCGCGCTGTGCTGTTCACTGCTGCTACGCCTCTTGATAGGAAATAAACTGATTTCTATAAACTGTGTTGAGTATTTTCTGTAAAGTAGATTATAAAATGGTTTTCGATAGTGTTACATTGAGAATAATTAATCGCCATTTATGTCAGGAGGAGGGCCGAATATTAAAGAACATAAGTAATGTCTTTTATGTTACATAACTTGAATGGAACGAAACCCAACCAAAATGTAGGGTGTTCGTCTATTTTCAGTCAGATTTACTGAAATGTATTTCTTGTGTCATTGTGTTGTGTTAAATTGCTTCAAACCTAAAATACGTTGTTTTCGAGCAGTAGAAGTAATTTAATTTTAAAGGAAATCAGCGTGAGAATGGAGGTGTCTGGTTGCCATGGCAACTACACGTACTCTGTAGTCAGTAAAATCGCTTGAATATTATTTACGGAGTTGCCTTTTATTTTTTGTTTCCTCATAAATATTTGTATGTGTTGTTGAAATCTCAAGCAGTGTAGAACAGAGTATGGCGTATGTACTACAGAAATCTAAATATGATTAAAATGGTGAAAACAACAAAACTAAACTAAAAAATCTGGTCACCCTAATCTCAATCTCTGTTAAATGTATATTATTTTAGTTAGTATTTGTGTGTAGACTTATATTCGTGTTGTTTGTCACTCTAAAGTTATGGTGTTTGGCCACATGGATTTTTTAAGAAACTGGGAATTCCAGGACCAAGGCCTTGGCCTTTCTTTGGCACTCTTCTCTCATACACTAAAGTGAGTAATTAATTATGTAAAGAGTTATTCACTCTTTTAATTTCTCTCTGATTAGTTGTCTATATGCAAATGTATTTTAGGGTTTGTGCAATTTCGATATGGAGTGTGCTATGAAGTATGGAAAAGTTTGGGGGTGAGTCTCAGTCATACATTTACTGTGTTAAAAGAATTTGTCACTCAAGTTATACTATATATACACCTACACATTAGGCAAAATGTCATTCATCGAGTGAAATTACATTTAATTCAATATATGAATATAAATAAAGAAATTGTAGAAGGTACGTTATGTAATATTGTAGTTTGTCCATTGAGTAAAATGTTTAAGCACAGTTGAGATATTTCACAATATAGCAAGCTTCTCACACATTAATAAAACAATTGTTTAAATGGCTGCTGTCTCATATATTTAATACAGTAATGATTACTAGTATCACATTGCCGTCTTTTAACCTGTATGTAACCTGCATGTGAGTATTTTATTTGCTAGGCAATGTATGTACTTCCTAACAGTGCAGTTTATTAGTGGAGCACAACAGTTTGGTGGTATTTGGCTGAATCACTGTGACTGCAAACTGATCGATATTCCTTTCATTGCTCAGGATCTATGATGGAAGGCTCCCAATATTAATGGTTACTGACCTGGAAATGATCAAAGTGATTTTGGTGAAAGAATGTTATTCTAACTTCATTAACAGAAGGGTAAGCTCACCAAAACCCAAACACAGTTTTGTACAAGAAAAGTGTTATTATGGCAATTCAGAGACAGCTAAAGATGCAGTAAAGATCACCATTTTGTAATTTATACAGAAAAGAACTACAGGTCTTGCTGGCCCCTTTGCTGATGGCATAATTATGGTTAAAGATGAGAGATGGAAGAGAATGCGTAGTACACTCTCCCCGTATTTCACAAGTGGTCGACTGAAGGAGGTACAGTGAAGGCCCATAATATGAACTGTATCATGCTTTGTCGTCTAGTCCCAATAATCTCTACTTCTTTGCAGAACAGTAAATTCAGTCAGTGGTTTAGAGTTTCAAATGGAGATGAGGCAAAGTCCAATGCATTTTATTATAGTCTTGTTGCTCACTGGCACATATGTAGCTAACATTTATTTCTAAATATGTTTCAGATATTTCCCATAGCTGTGACACATGCAGATCGTTTTATTAAAAATATGCAAAAGAAAGACAACGAGCAGCCAGTTACAGTAAAAGAGTATGTGTGACATCTGTCTTTAAATAATACATAAAAGCATTCATAGTCAATCATGAACTTTACTAATGCATTTACTGCAGTTCATTTCTTTGTATAAAACCACATAAAATGAATTTAATTTATTGATAAAGTTAATAATATTAATTATGATTATTTTAGATGACATTGGCTTTGTTAGAAAGTAATGATATGTAAATGATCACTATATACTATATCTAATAAGAAACAAACACTGTTTTTATTCCAGAGTTGTGGGTCCGTACAGTTTGGATGTGGTCACCAGCTCCTCCTTTAGCGTCGACATCGACTCCATAAACAACGCAGATGATCCTTTTGTTACCAACATCAAGAAGTTCATCCAGTTTAATATGTTCAATCCTCTCTTTCTGCTAATACGTATGTTATTGCTTGTATAATAATATTGGAAAATGAACAGAAATAATGAAAAAATAAACAAAAATTAAGTTTATTTTCTTGTTTCAGTATTGTTTCCCTCCATTGCAATTATTTTGAAGAAAATGGGGGTTACTCTTTTTTCGAAGTCATCTATGGATTTTTTCTACAGTGCCGTGAAAAAGATTAAGGACGAGCACAACAAGGAATCAGATGTATGTTTGTCACTATTTCACTATGTCATTCACTATCATTTAGATCTGGCAATGATTTTGATGCTTGTGTGTTTTTAATCAGGGTCGGGTAGACTTTCTCCAGCTCATGCTCCAGAATCAAATACCTGGTGATCATTTTGAGGACACAGATGAGCAACCAGCAAAAGGTTAGAGAGACAGTACAAAATTTACACATTATAGACTCTATCATTTCAAATGGGACTTGTATTCAAATATGCAGTTTTGTGAATTTGATAGGACTAACAGACCACGAGATTCTCTCCCAGTCCCTCGTTTTCATTCTCGGAGGTTATGAGACGACAAGCACCACTCTCACTTACCTCCTCTATAATCTTGCAACTAATCCAGACTGCCTGGAAAAGCTGCTTGAGGAGATTGACACAAACTTCCCTCCTGATGTGAGAACAACGGCTTCTGCTTTGTTCATAGTTTTTGTCTAGAGAATCTGAATCTGAGAGTTCTCTGACCCTCCCATAGACAGCAAGGGTCCTTACACGATCAAGGTCCAGAAACGTAGCAAGGACTGTAAAATCGTCCATGTGACATCAGGGGTTCAACCGTAATTTTACGAAGCTACGAGAATACTTCTTGAGCGCAAAAGAACAAAAAATAACGACTTTATTCAATAATTAGTTTCCTCCCTAGCACCATTTTGGAGAGTATCCACTGAACGTAAATTGCATATGCTGTTTTGTGTCAGCTGCGGCATGCAGATACGCTGTTTATGTCGTTTACGCTTTGATTTGAACGAAAACAACGTATCCGCGTGGCGCAGCTGACCCGTGTGGGTTCAACCGTGATTTTACAAAGCTACGAGAATACTTTTTGTGCGCAAAAGAAAAAAATAACAACTTTATTCACTCTGTTACGTCTCCTTAATAGTTGTTAAGGTTATTGGCGTCCAGAAGCATAGGAAAGTAACACAGTAATAAATGAATAAAAGGAATGATTCAAAAAAATAAGAGAATCATTTGTTACCAGAAAATGAATTGTGTGAAGTAATAAACAAACTAGAACACAGAATGAATGGATAAACTTTTAGTTAAAGGTTTTCACCAAACCACCAATTGCTAAATTGCATATGCTGTTTTGTGTCAGCTGCGCCACGCGGATACATTGTTTTTGTTCAAATCAAAGCGTAAACGACGTAAACAGCATATCCGCGTGGCGCAGCTGACACAAAACAGCATACGCAATTTACGTTCAGTGGATACTCTGTTACGTCTCCTTAATAGTTGTTAAGGTTATTGGCGTCCAGAAGCATAGGAAGGGGAAAAATTCAAAAAGGATGGGAAAAAAACCTTCCAAAACACTACGGAACGTAACACCCTCACCCTTAAAAGGCAAACATGTTACATGTTTGAAAGAAAAAACAAGCAATAACCCTCCATTTCTAGACTCTAGACAGAGCATCAGCCACTACATTATCCGTACCTTTTTTGTACTTGATCACAAGGTTGTAGCTCTGCATAATAAGTGACCATCTCATAAGCCTCCGGTTCTGGTTACAAATGCGTGAAATAAAAGTCAGTGGGTTATGATCAGTGTAGACCGTCACAGGACGAATGGAGGAACCAACATACACTTCAAAGTGCTGAAGTGCTAGCAATAAAGCCAACGCCTCTTTCTCTATGGTTGAATAATTACGTTGGCATCTGTTAAACTTCTTTGAGAAGTAGCAAATAGGATGGTTGATGCCATTCTGATCCTCCTGCAAAAGTACCGCACCAGCTCCTACTTCACTTGCGTCAACCTCTAACTTGAACTCCACAGAAAAATTAGGAGCGGATAATACAGGCTCACTACACAACAAAGCTTTGATATTGTCAAAAGCTGTTTGACATTCAGGTGACCATACAAATGATTCAGAAGGGCTAAGTAATGTAGTTAAAGAAACAGCCACAGAAGAAAAATTCCGACAAAAACATCTATAGTAACCGGCCATGCCCAAAAACCTACGCAACTCACGTCGGGTCTTTGGCACTGGAAATTCACTAATTGCTGTAATCTTAGCTGAACCCGGTCGTACCTGTCCTTGACCAACTTGTTTACCTAAATAGGTCACCGTTGCCTTGCCGATCTCACATTTAGTGAGGTTTAAAGTCAAGGATGCTTTCTCCAGACGTTTAAACACAGTTTCCAATAACGACACATGTTCGGGCCAACTCTGAGAGTAAACAATTAAATCATCCAGATATGCATTACAATTGTGAACATCAGCAAGCACTACATTGACCAATCTTTGAAATGTAGCAGCTGCATTTCGCAGTCCAAACGCCATAACGTTGTACTGTAGAAAGCAGTCTGGTGTCACAAAAGCGGAAATTTCAGATGCTCTAGCGGTCAATGGAACTTGCCAGTATCCTTTGAGGAGGTCAAGTTTACTGACAAATTTTGCTGATCCTACACTATCCACACAATCTTCCATCCTTGGCATCGGAAAGCAATCGGGTATCGTTACTTCATTTACCCGACGATAATCTGTACAAAAACGTTTAGTACCATCCGATTTCTGCACCAATAAGCATGGAGAACTCCCAAGGGCTGATAATGGCCCTCGCCAATCCTTTATCTAACAGGTACTGTGTTTCCTGTTTTATTAGAGCTCTCTTAAAAGTATTAACCCTATAAGGGTGTTGTTTAATGGGCTGAGTGTTACTTAATTTAATATCACGTTGCAGTACATTCGTTAATGTAGGAGCATCACCTAAGATAGAGGAGAATTTATTAAAAATCTCAACAATATCCTGCCTTTGGTCAATGGTAAGATGAGCCAAAAAGGCCGACAAGTTCACAAGAGTTTCGGAATTTGATAATCTGGCAGATAATAATGGCGTTTCAGGCTCCAAGAAAACATCCAATTCATCATCTTGCTGCCCCGTAGCTGAACTGGCCCTACACACTACTCCTACTGGAAGAACAGGGCCATTTCCCTTTTCCACGGTAAGAAGGTACCCAACGTCTCTGGAATGATAAGCTTTAATCATGTTAACATGACACAATCGCGTTTGACACTTTCTATCAGGAGTTCTCACCACATAATCGGTCTCACCCTTTTTCTCTAGGATCTCATATGGCCCGGAAAATCGTGCAGATAATGCAGATCCAGGAACGGGAAGCAAGACCAAAACTTGATCACCAACTAAAAAAGATCTGGTCACAGCCCCTTTATCATAGCGCTTTTTCATTATCCCCTGAGCTTTACACAAGGACTCCCTTGCCAGAGCACACGCTTTCTGTAGTCTTTCATGGAGTTTGCTTACGTAATCTAGCACATTTGTTTTATCAGCAGCCTCAATGCCTAGCATGCTTTCCTTTAAAACCTTAAGAGGTCCTCTCACCGTGTGTCCGAAGACCAACTCAGATGGACTGAACCTGAGAGATTCCTGCACGGTTTCCCGAATTGAAAATAAAAGCAATGGAACTCCTTCATCCCACTCGCTTCCTGTCTCAATGCAGTATTTTCTCAACATGGCTTTTAGTGTCTGGTGGAATCTCTCCAGCATTCCTTGACTTTGGGGGTGATGAGCACTAGCCACACGGTGTATAATGTTTAGTGACCTAAAATCTTGTGAACACAATTTAGATAGAAAATTTGTTCCTTGGTCTGTTTGAATGACCTTTGGTAAGCCAAAAGTAGTGAAAAACTTCACTAAAGTTTTAACAACTACTTTGGCTGTAATTTTGCGTAATGGAATAGCTTCCGGATACCGGGTAGCAGTACACATAATTGTGAGCAAGAACTGATTACCCGACTTAGACTTTGGCAAAGGCCCCACACAGTCTACTATCACATGTTCAAAAGGTTCCCCCAACACCGGAATTGGAATTAAAGGAGCTGGCGGAATCACCCGATTAGGTTTACCTGCGTATTGGCAAACATGACAGCTCTTACAGTACAATGTCACGTCACGCTTTAGTCCGTACCAAAAAAAATGTTGAAGAATGCGGTTATAAGTCTTGGTAATCCCCAAATGTCCTGATAATACATGATCATGCGCCAATGTCAAAATCTGCTGACGAAAATTAACAGGCACTACTACTTGATAAACCACGTTCCACTCATCATCGGTAGAATTACTTTTATGCCATTTCCTCATCAGAAAATCGTCTTTAATCAAGAATGAAACATTGCCCAACTCATAATTCCCTACCAGCTTAAAACACTTTTCTAATGAACAATCATTTCTCTGAGCCTCAATGAGTTTTTCACGAGTTACAGTAAACATCACTGGATCACTCACTATAACTTCTCTCACCTTATCACTATCACTGAGCTTGGTTTCTGCAACTTCCTCAGCTCCGCCATCTGTACATAGAAAAGAGTCACCTAAAGAAAAGTCATTCTCTTTCTTTGCTTGGGCACGGGTAACCACACATGCAGGAAATGCACTTGGGTATTTCTCAAACAACTCGTCTGTCTTAACCTGGCTCAGCGGTGAGTCCAACACTTCTAGTGAAGGTACCACCCTCCCTCCAGCTAAATCATTACCCAAAATGAAAGCCACACCTTTCACCGGTAACACTGGGCGTACTCCTACCTCCACCAAATTAGTTACCAAATCAGACTGGAGATAAATGCGATGTATGGGCACCTTCAAAACTTCCATATTAAAACTCTGGACTAACCTACTGGATCCAGCTGACGATTGGTCTGAAAAAGGTAAAACCTCAGCACATATAAAAGACTGCGCAGCTCCGGTGTCACGTAGCATCTGAACTTCCACCTGATCCTCCTTCCTGCCAGTCAAAGAAACAAACCCCTTAAACAAGAAAGGCAAATATGTAGGGTCCAACTCATCATGACCCTGCTCAGAAAATGTACATGAATTAATAGAGTTAACAAATGCAACTTCTTTTTTCTGAGTGGGATGCTTATGCTTCAAAGTTAAACAGTCAGCAATAACATGTCCTTTTCTATGGCAATAAAAACATTCACGAGTTTCTTTGAACTTCTCAGAATTCTGCTTATGCAGCTGAGCACTTACAGAAGCTCTCGGCAGGAAATTCTTCTCAACACCCGTTGACTGAAAAACATGTTTATGCGTAAGCACATACTCGTCCGCTAACACTCCAGCTTGCGATAGCGTTGCTACTTTCTGTTCATTCAGGTACAGCACCATCCTTTCTGGAAGACATTGCTTAAACTCTTCAAGCAATACAAGTTCTCTAAGTGAGTCCAAATCATCAGCCTTACTAGAGGTGCACCACCTATCGAAAAGAATGGCTTTCTCTCGTGCAAACTCTACAAAAGTTTGTGTTGAACTTTTCTTACGGTTACGAAAGTGCTGTCTGTAAGCCTCAGGAACCAACTCATACGCTTTAAGTATAGCCTGCTTAACTACCTCATATTTCAGACCATCTTCCAAAGATAAGGTAGAGTACACTTCTAAAGCTTTGCCTATTAACTTGCATTGTAACAATAATGACCACACCTCTTTAGGCCAACCTAAAGAAGTCGCTATTCTCTCAAAAGCGTTAAAATAACTATCCACTTCAGATTCTCTAAAATTCAGTACCAAAGCAATACGTTTTCCCACATCAAATGTGGTAGAACCCGAATTAGCCGAATTGTCACTCACCAATGAGAAGTTTCGCTGAACAGTGGGGACCGACACAACCTTAGCCGCCTCAATCTCCAACTTACGAATCTTCACTTCTTTCTCGGCTTGAATTTCAAGCCTGCGGACCTGGAGACGCCAATCCAACTCTGCTTGGCGGGCTCGTGTTCGCTCTTGGGCCTCCATATGAAGCCGTGCGATACGCACTTTCGTCTGTGTCCCCCCTCTTGAACTGGGAGTACTAGGCGAAAAAGGCTCAAAAGGTGGCAAAACGGCCCCGCCTTCGGCCTCCGCCTCAGTCGCGGTCGTCCCGGTCGTCTCTACCTCTCCTTTACCTGCCTCAAACACATCCTGCCACTCGCCAACTGGACCGGTCTCTTGGTTAACGTCAGCCAGTTTTAATATTCCCATAGCTGATTAGTCACTTCGGCCTTAATTTGTTTTTTTTAAGATTGCTTAGGAATAGGGATCGGATAGTGGGTAGCTATCACCAACAAGTCATCTTTTCTACATTTTTCAATTACCTCCAACGAAGGATTCTCAAGAAAATTCTGCAAACGAAACGCCATAAGCAAGCTTAGTATTATCACTCTCCATAATAAAAAGATACTCTACCCATCAATCACGCTACCGCTGTCCACGAACAAAACGTTTCCATCAAAACCCACAACTCATTATCTTTTTAATCAAATGATTAAACAAAAAAAAAAAACACGACTCTCCCATTAAAGAATAAGCTTTTAGGACGAGCCCCCAATTATGTTACGTCTCCTTAATAGTTGTTAAGGTTATTGGCGTCCAGAAGTATAGGAAAGTAACACAGTAATAAATGAATAAAAGGAATGATTCAAAAAAATAAGAGAATCGTTTGTTACCAGAAAATGAATTGTGTGAAGTAATAAACAAACTAGAACACAGAATGAATGGATAAACTTTTAGTTAAAGGTTTTCACCAAACCACCAATTGCTCTACAAAAATTTACAGTGAAAACAGAAGTTCAAATGATAAGAAAACTCGTTTACAAATAATATACTCAAACACCAAAATAATCAACTTAAGAGTGAGACAAGAGCGGAGCCTAAATCAAAGAAATTAATAAAACAAAACACCAACTAACTTAAACCAACCTCAATTCTAATCTAATCAAATGAAAAGAAAAGAAATTCTTCAGCATATCAATGCCATACTCTACGCTATCTATCAAAACAAAAATTACAAATGTTAGCTCCCACTCCTAACCTAGTGTTTTTATACAATCTGAAAGGCTACGTGTTGCTTGTGTACGTCACGTGACATATTAACCTTGTCTCAACTCTTGAGTCGAGGAAACGTCCAAAAGAAAACTCTTTGAAGAATACATAGTCAAGTCACAACACAGTCGACAACAACGCAACCCTAAGAACAGCAGAATAATTGGAAAAACACGAACTCACAGCAACAATCACAACTGGCGGACTTAACATGTGGACAACAGAGCCAACAAACTAACGCGAGCCCGAGGAAAAACGCCGCTCCCGTCCAGCGTCACTTCCGACTCCTTATACCCCCGTTAGACTCCGATTGGTTCCTTAAAAGAAGCTTCGTCACGTCAACAATGAAGAATGACAGAGAACTCCTCCAATCACAGGACCTGAGAGTTAAAGACGGGAACAAAATCAAAAAGGATGGGAAAAAACACTACGGAACGTAACACTCTCCAAAATGGCGCTAGGGAGACGAATTGTTGAACAAAGTCGTTTTTTGTTTTTTTTCTTTTGTGCTCAAAATGTATTCTCGTAGCTTCGTAAAATTACGGTTGGACCCCTGATGTCACATGGATTATTTTACAGATCTCCTTGCTATGTTTCTGGATCTTGATCGTGTAAGGACCCTTGCTGTATATGGGAGGGTCAGAGAACTCTCAGATTCCATTAAAAATATCTTAATTTGTGTTCCGAAGATGAACGGAGGTCTTACGCAGGGTTTAGAACGACATGAGGGTGAGTAATTAATGACAGAATTTTCATTGTTGGATGAACTATCACTTTAAAGGCAGTTTTGGATTTTAGGGTTCAGTTGTTTTACTTAAGGAACAGGAATTAGGTTTAAAACAAAGCTGAAATATGCATTGGGTATGTCTTGTTTTTTTGTGGTTTATTTAGACTCCCTTCACATATGATGCATTGATGAAAATAGATTACTTGGAAATGGCCATCAACGAATCAATGCGTCTCCTTCCCACTGCACCACGCTTAGAAAGGTCCTCTAAGAAAACTGTGGAGATCAATGGGGTGACCATACCAAAGGACACTCTGGTTGGAATTCCTGTATATGTTTTGTGTCGTGATCCGCAACTCTGGGAGTCGCCTGATGAGTTCAGACCGGAGAGGTGATGTCTATTTTTTTTCACAACCACAGTTTTTCTCACTTCAGTTTTTCTCACATATGATCATCTTACAACATGTGATTTATACAGTTTACAGAACCACGTACCAGATTTAAGCTGGCTAAACAAAATTAAAACAGCCTTTAGAATGTAAGGAAGCATCCTTATTTACTGTAGTACCTTACTAAATCAAACAAAAGCCGGTACTTTGATTTTACACAGTTTTCTTAAAAGAAGTGGTTACAAACACATCTACAAACAGTGGATTCAAACATGTCTACAAACAGTGAATTCAATATATCACTATAGGTTCAGCCCAGAGAGTAAGTCAGAGATAAACCAGTACGCTTTCCTGCCTTTTGGACTCGGGCCTCGAAATTGCATTGGAATGAGATATGCCCAATTGATCATGAAGCTTCTTGTTGTGAAGCTGCTTCAGAACTTCAGCATGGAAACATGTAAAGAGACACAGGTTGGTACACTGACTGTCATCAATTAGAATTTATATACATTAGTTATGTGAGACAGACTGTGCATTGCATCTTGAATTAATTAATTGTTGTTTATTTTCTCTCTTTTTTTTCCTCAGATCCCTCTAGAGATGAATGCCGCTTTTCAGCCGAAGGTTCCCATCACACTGAAGTTTATACCAAGATCTCACAAGGCAAAACAATAATGCAATGCAAAACGGTTATATACATTATATAATTATGAATAATAAGAATTTTTTTAAATCATTTTAATCATGAAGACTGAAACACATTATAATATTTACACAATTAATAATTCTCTTTTTATCATTTCATTATATTATCAGACATTTAATGTTCACCTTTTACATTTCATTGAAATGAGCCATTGTAAAGTTCACTGTATGATTTATGGTGCTCAAGATTGATGGACCTTGAGCTCTTCCTGGTTCATTCATTTTGTGTCATTTGTTTAATGCTTATTGAAATGTAATAAATATGTTTTAAAAGAAACAACATTGTGCACATTTAATTATATACTTATATGTTTTATAAAATAAAAACAATTAAATAGTTTACTGTATATGTACATTGTATATATAATGTATATACATTGTATATAATCAATGCAATGTATATTCATGTGGCTGTAAAGAAGATGTGAAGTTCTTTTCTATCATATCATCAGAATTATTTTACCAAATAAAATGTGCCCATGTGAGAAATACTTTCTGTGAAAAAATGGTTGTTATTCATTGCACCCAGAAAGCCCATAAAACGGAATCCAGTGTCCTGCATTTCAGTTGGCAATGAAGGCTAAACAGGAAGAGATTGTTTGTTTTCATGCCACTTACAGCCTTAATTGCACTGCCATGCTCTGGAAAACCACCAGTATAAAACAGGTATTAGAAAAGAAAATGCTTTTTCAGCACTGGCAGTTATTTTGCCAAAATGGGGCATACATTTTTAACACTAATCATAAGCCCATGTATAATTGATTCATATTATATGATGTATTATATAAAAAAAAAAATTCTAGGTCCTTTTAAAATTTACATTAAGACTAACTCACTATTTAAATGTATTGTGTTATGATAATGAAATTGATTTGATTAGACCTGAGATTCTCCTCAAGGGTTATTGTTTGTATACCCACTTTATCAAAAGAATGAATTACTATATCATTAAATGAGTAGTTAGATGAGTAAGTATACGTATAGTTAGGCATGGTGTTTTAGCTACTGTTGTGTCATTGAATATTTTCAGTTGACCTCAGCACTGAATGTGATGTAACCAGCTGTAATTCCATCCTACATTAAGGCCTTTTCCTCATTTTATCTTTAAAAAATGATCTTGTCTTTCTGTGACATTTGAGAATTTGCATGTGTAACTTGGGGTAAACCAAACCTAGTGCATTTGAAATCTTTAGGGTCAAGACCTTTGTTGCAAGACATGTTTCATTTTTGGGAAATCGGACAGCATTTTTTCTTTCCACTTCCTGCTGACTCAACTCCCAACAGGCTGAATTTTTTATTTTGACCTAGAAAGTCTACATTATTTTTCATTACATCCTTTTCTGAGATGGCAAGACGAACCATCAACTGATTTTAATCAAAACATAAAAGAAACCCATTAAAGTGACAAAGACAGCAAAGACTATTGTTAAAGGTTTTGGTAAAATAATCCAGAAGGGCAGGCCAAGTATCCGAAGTCCTTACTGACAGTGATTCTGAAAACATTACAAAGTTTATTACACGGCTCTCTGGGATACTTGATTCGTGCAGGTCACGTTATATTGATAGTGATAATTATACATTCCCCAGCTGTACATTTACCCTTATGCAGTAAGTAAGAGATTTTATACATTTCATAAAAGTGTAAAATTATCAAGAGAATAAAGTTTAAATGTGCATTAAATGGTCGGAAAAGAATAAAATGTAGAAAAGTGTGAGAATTCAGGTAAAGAAATGTGAGATGCTGGCCTTGCTAGAGCTGCATTTACACAATGTATGTTCCCCCCTTGACTGTAGAAAAAAACCATTGCAATTTAAAGTAATGGGTTACTATATTATAGATTAAAATTAATAACTAGTGATTTAAATTCTTAAATTCTTCAGCATTTTCAAAGGCAAGAAACAGACAGCTGAATTCGTAGTGAAGACAGACACCTTGTGTTGACAAGTAAAACTGCGCATAGTTTCAACCTAATTTGTGAAACTCCAGCATCCGGGCACTCCGGCATCCGGGGCTTACCTCTGCCTTGTTCTTTCTCTGTTTATAAACAGAACGAGCGCAGAATGGTCGATGCGCCGTGACGTCACCCCTCCAACAACGTCATTTTATTTCCACCTTCCAAGATGTTTTTCACACCGAACGAGAAACACAACCCATCAAAGTTCACCTGCATTTAGTTTCAATCCGAGCAAGCACGCGTGCATCCGACATCAAATATACCTCTTTTTTATTGCCACATGTAACGCACGTGTCGTCCGGTTCCAGGAACTGCAACAATATTAACCTTTAATATGCCAGAGAGCTTAGAGTAAGACCTGCGAAAATGGTCGGGGGAAAATAAACATCTAGGATAAACTTTACTAAAAAATTTAAACGACATCGCACTATCCCCCGCTAACGGTTTCAAAACCAATGAAAGGTAAGCGAGGGTTTAAATCGCGCCTCGCTCCAGTCCGTCAATCCATGTCGGGTTTTCCACGCGCCATCTCCATGTTTTGACTACCACCACCAACAGCAACACAGTGAGCCCTGCCAACACATAGCCGTTGCGCTTGCAAACCCCGCTGTGTTTTTCAACAAAATGGCTGATTTAGGGGATGATACCGGAGCGAGAGCCCTACTGGCGCTCAAATCTGCGCCTTGTAGCCCGGTGGCTGTTTCTGTCCCGCCGGTGTACACGCTTTCCTCCTCGACTTCGCCCGGAATCACATCATCCATGTCCCTCTCCTCTCCGTGGCAGGCCCTCGCTCGCCTGGAAGGCAGGGACTTCGAGTTCGCCATGCGCCAGAGGACGGTCACCGTGGGGCGGAATTCGTCGCACGGCTCCGTGGATGTCAACATGGGCCACTCGAGCTTCATTTCCAGGAGGCATCTGCAGATCAGCTTCGAGGAGCCGCATTTCTACCTGCGCTGTCTCGGCAAGAACGGTGTGTTTGTCGATGGCGTTTTCCAGAGGAGAGGCGCACCTCCACTTCTCCTGCCGAGGGAGTAAGTTACTCAAATGAGATCTGTTTCCTTACATTAGCTTCTGTGGCCTGATAGCAAGCACCTATTCACTTGGAGAGCGAATGCCCTACACATACAAGAGATTAAATTAACCTGTTTAATGCAGCGCCTGCATAATCCGACTAAACTACATACATACGAGAACTGTCAGAAACCGACTTCAGGGTACTTTCAGTTTGTGATATAACGTACTTGTTGTTTTATGCATTTATTTAGAGGGGGAAAATGCAACGGCTACAAACCTGTTTTGGCTCAGGATAATCTGACAGTATGTGCATTAATCTGCTATTGTGAGTGTAATATGCTCTTAAAAATAAAGGTTCTTAATGGGCATCAATGGTCCTGTGAAGAACCTTCAACAGCCATGGAACCTTTCAAATGCAGAAAAGGTTATTTAAAGTCGAAAAAGGCTCTTTAGATTTGTAAAATGTTCTTCAAAATGGTCCTTTTAGGAACTGTTCACTGAAAGGTTCTTTGGGGAACCAAAAAAGGTTCTTCTATGGCATCACTGCCCAAACACCCTTTTGGAACCTTTATTTTTAAGAGTGTAATTGGGTCGGTTAAAGGCATAGTTCACCCAAAATTACAATTCTGGCATCATTTCCTCACCCTCATGTTCCAAACTTATATGATTTTATTTCTTCGGTGTATTTCTACAACTTTTTTTTTTCAGGAAATGTTGACCAAGGCTGTCAGTTCTGTCTAAATCCTGTTGTGTTCCATTGAAGAAATGCAAGTTTGGAATAACAGGAGGGTGTGTAAACAATAACACATTTTTCATTTTTGGCTCAAGTATCCCTTTAGGCCCGGATCTGGATCTGTCAATGGATCTGGATTTTCTATATATTATAAAATTACTGACCCCTGAGTGTTTTTTGTTGTTGTTGAGGCTGGCGCTCAAGACGGGTTAAAATACAACCATGAAAAGTTAAACGTTTCACATTACGACCACAGGAACTGTGTGCACGACAGAGACTGGATTCACCGCATGATTTTGTGGGCAGATGTGAGATATACAGGCCGCATTTATGACACGTATCAGTAGTAACCGCTTTATGATCTTCTGCAGACAAAGAACAGAGTGGAAAACCTAGTAATACTATAATGAAGCTCTTCGAACAACTATGTTTGAGTAGTAATGTGGCGTTTTGTACACAGTCCTCATGCAGTCTTATTTTTGTTTAGATTGTTTTGAACTGTAAACAATCATTACAGTTGTCAGTATAAAGTGTCATTTTGTTCATTTCAATTCATTTCTGTGATTTCAAGTTTTTGGAGTTTGAAACTGTTTTTTAACAATTTATTTTCAAATTATTTGAGTTTTCAAAGTATCTTATTTTCTTTTCAAATGATTTGAATTTGTATTTAAAACATATTTGGAACTTGATTTCAAATTTGATTTTATTGAAACAAACAGTAAAAAAATTCAATCTTGCATTTAAAATATAAATTTGTATTTAAAGACAGTGTTCTTTTTTAACATTACTCTTCCCATGCTTTAGTTGCTGTTTTGCTTACACTAAGTTATAAGTTTAGCAGTATAAATAGTTATGTTTATCTTAGTAACAATCACCTTTAGAAAACCAATCCGTGAGTGTTTGATGATCCTACTAAATTAGATGTTTTTGATAAAGTACACAAGTAAAATCAGTTTCAGTATTAGTAATCTGTAGAGTTAATAATCAGTATGAAAGCAGTTCTAATGCCATTGACAGTTTTAGCCTCAAATGTAAACACAAATGATTGAGAAGTGGATAAATTAGTTAACTAGATCAGACTGAAGGTCTCTGCGTAGTTGTGCAGAACAGTATTGTTGTGACTGGAGTTCAGCTCTTTGTGACTCTTAGATTTTATTAAAATCGCTATTTGGCTTCCTCGTTCTTATCAGCATTGCTTTTACTGTGACTTGTTGTGTGCCATCTGTCTTATCAATGCAGAATAGATCTGTGGAGCTTGTTGTCATGGAGGTCAGAGCGACTATTCCTGCAGACTGCTGTGAAAACACGGACAGACTGAACCCATAATGGGCGCATGTAAAGTCAGCCGTTCAAAACAACTGCAGTGTGTATGCTGTAGCATTAAATGTGGCTTCCTGGTGTAAATACGTCCTGTGGAGGCGGTGCACCTATTCATCATTCTCTCTGGCTGCACTGCCGAGTCCGACAGTTCAAAAACTGAGAAAAGGGGTGAAAGGGAGGGTTCATTATTACTCGAAAGTTCACATTTTGTTGGTCCCAAACAGAAGCATAGCCTAACAGTTACGTAATTAGAGATTTCACACAGATTACCTGTCTTGTTCACTGTGCAAGTCCATGTATCATCTTTAATGGCAAAGTAAAGGTTTGATTATCAATCTAAAATGCCATACAAACCTTTCTACAGGCTCAAGGACATGTATTCAGTATCATCTCTGAGCGGTGTGGCTGTTGTTAATGTTAAATGAAGTCTGTGAGGGAAATGCAAGGAAAAATCTTGGCAGTTTTCTACCAATATCAAAACATTGTCAATGTTCTATGGTCAGAAATCAAGTATACACTACCGTTCAAAAGTTTGGGGTCAGGAAGTTTTTTTTTTCCCTAAGAAATTAATACTTTCATTCAGTAAGGATGCAGTGACAGATGTGACAAGACATTTATAATGCTACAAAAGATTTCTTTTTTAAATAAATGCTGTTTTTTTTTTTTACTTTCAGTTCATTCAAAGAATCTTGAAAAAATAAAAATAAAAATACTAAGCAGCACAACTGTTTTCAACATTGAAAATAAGAAATGTTTCTTGAGCAACAAATCATCATATCAGAATGATTTCTGAAGGATCATGTGACACTGAAGACTGGAGTAATGATGCTGAAAATTCAGCTTTGCCATCACAGGAATTACATTTTGAAATGGAAAGAAATGGAAAACTGTTAAAATTGTAATATTTCACAATATTATTGTTTCACGGTATTGTTAATCAATGTATGTGTGCATAAGAGACTTCTTTCAAAAACCAAAAAAAAATCTTACCAACTCTAAACTTTTAAACAGTATGTCAAAAGTTACAATTGGTTTGCAAGGTTTAAGGGACAAAAAGCGCTTTCCACATATTAGCACTGATCTCATAAAATCAACTTTTATGCCTTAATGTGTCTGTATTCTTCTCTACAGGTGCACATTTCGATTTCCCAGTACGGTGATAAAGATTCAGTTTACGGCGCTGTACCACAAGGAGACACAGAAGGAGGAGGCTCCTGTATCCCCTGTGAGACCCCTTTACCCTCAGATCTCTCCGCTGAAAATCAGCATTCCTGAAAATGACTTCAGAAGTATGATGAGTCCCCTGCCTTCACCGACAGGAACTATTAGGTACGACTTCATCCGAACGATTGCGCACTGTTTCATTAGAGAACCAGTTCTTTTCCAGATCTTTTTGAAAGTAGATTTTGTTCTCATATTGTTGCAGAAATGCAAGCAAATTAAAAATAAACAAAAAACTTGCAGAAAATAAATAGATAAAAACTGCAGAAATATATGCAGCATTGAAAGGATTATCAATAATTGGACAACAAAGCAATAGGTTTTGCATATTCCTATTATTATGTCTATTTAAGCAAAAGTCAAATTTGAATATGTTTCTAAAGTACAATCCTGCATTTACGCTGAAGCATCAGAATTGGCATGCAATAGGAGATGCTTGATTTTGATGGGTGTTTGAAGCTGTCCGGCTTCATTGTATATGTAGTCAGTCAGATGCAGTAGTGGTGGGAAAAGCCTGCCCCTGGCGGCCTCTCCGCTCTTCTGCACCACGTGTGGCTCTCAAAGCGAGCATGCTGTGTGCACACACCATATATGGCATGTGCTGAGCTTGGAGCGCTCTGATTGGTCGGTCAGAAAGTGTTGTGGTTTGGTGTTTTGAGCCACAGATAGTTTCCTTTTTCCGAGGCCTCCAAACACCCCCCTCATCCCACTCCTTGGACTGCTCCTACACCCAACACAAACAGACACATGCTTTCTGTCCTTCCTGATTCCTCTTCCCTTACTGGGGGGAATATTTCCTTCTATTCAGCTCTACAAGCATTGGAACTGCTAATCCACGGCTGCGCTGCAGTTTCTACTGTAGTATTTTTCTCTCGTAGGATTCAGTCTGTGTGAAGTGATAGATTAGGGACATTTCCCAAATTGTCAGCCTGCTGCACACGCAGCAGATGTGCGTAAATCTTTGAATTCCACACACGTGGAGCTACTTGAACAACTGCCATGTACAGTACAACCAGCAATATCAGCCTCTGCTTTCCTGCTGCATTCATTTTTTTAATGTGAATGTCAGAATAATTTTGATAAGGTGATAACACTTTACAATGAGCTTAGTTTATTATGCATAAGTATCATAAACTAACATTTGAACAACTTTGTTTTTACACAGCTTTTATTAGTCTAGATTAGTGTTATACAAATATTGCTGTTCATTGTTAATTGGTGTTTGTTCATTATACATTAAGTATTGTTAATTTATATACATTTATTTGTATTATTCACTATCTTCCAAAGGTTTGGGGTCCATAAGATTAAAAAAAAGTTTTGTAAAGACGTATCTTTATGCTCATTAAGGCTGCTTTTATTTAGTCAAAAATACAGTACAGACGGTAACATTGTGAAATATTAATACAACTTAAAAGAACTGTATTTGTTCATATATATTTAAAATGTAATTTATGTCTGTGATAGTAAAGCTGAATTTTCAGCATCATTACTCCAGTCTTCAGTGTCACATGATTCTTCGGAAATCATTCTAATTATGATGATTTGCTGCTCAAGAAACATTTCTGATTATTATCAATGTTTTCAGGCATCTTACATGAATATAAAGTTAATAAAAACAGCATTTATTTTAAATATTTAATTATTTTGTAACCATGTAAATATCCTTACTGTCACTTCTGATCAATTAAATACAAACTTGTTGAATAAAAGTGTTAATAATTAAAAAAAATCTTGCCAACCTCAAACGTTTAAATGGTAGTTTATACTATAGAAATTAGCATTAATAAATGTTGAAAGTATTTTTCATTCATTCTTAGTTCATATTTACATAATGTATTGGATAATGTCAACAATTTTAACCTTATTGTAAAGTGTTACCAATAAAACTAAATGTTGGGTTGAATTATTTTTTGATTCACAAAAGATTTCTGTTAGTTAAGTGGGTTAATGATCAATCAGTTAAATAGGTGTCTTCTGTGAATCATTACTGCACATGACCCTTTGGAATCACGTGGCTGTGCTTCAACAGCCTTCACTGTTTATACTACAGTATGTTTTGAACTCGAGTAGCACTAAAAGTGCTGGCTTGTTATTGCTTTTAATATAAATGCATTGCATAATTCATATTTGTTGACCCAAAACGTGTTTCAAATGAGTTCATTACATCAAACCTAGTAAACTGGGTCAGTTCTGAAAGGCTCTTGGACAGTAAATATAAATATAACCCAAAATGCATGAAATATTTCCTGACTTGATACCAATAATTAACTATTGGTAGTGACATATTATTTTATTGTATTTTTTTTATAATTTGTGATCCATATTATAATATAAATGATATAAATATTTTTATATTTTAAATGTAAAAATAACTTAATTTGTACATTTAGTTGACACACTTTTAGTTTAGAAGTTTCAGTTTTAGTACAGAAGATCAGGATATATTTTTTGCTTGTCCTTAAGTTGTTTTTTTTAATACGGTCCAGCTGTTGTGAAAATGCTGCCTCAGGACTGGACTTCAACCCAAAGCACCCCGCCCGCTGTGCCCTCATGCACACAATTGCCTTCCCCCGGCCGGTCGCTCAGAGAGGCCTGTTTGTCTCTGCCCGCCCAACACAATGGAGCCTGCCGCACAACAGCCTTATCTGAGCACTCTGTTGTGCCCTGCTGTCAGAAAGCCAGCGGTAAAAAAATAACACAGCGAGTGAAGGAATGGTGGGGTGTGTTTGTGTTATGGGAGACTTACCGAGCCGTTAACAATAAACGACAGCCTTAAAATAGCTCAGGATGTCTTTCTGTCACTATCAGTCTAAATAATAGAGTTATTATCATTACATTTCGGAAACCCTGCGGCTAATGGCTCAGTAATTATTTTGTTTGTTTATCTGAATGGTTGGGTTTATAGGGCACAGGGCCACCTACTGGCACATTGTTTTTCATGTCAGGTGCATAACAAGGGTTATAATATGGGTTTTGATGTTGTGGGTTAATTTCAATGTGTGTGTGTGTGTGTAATCTGCTGTCAGTTATCACAGGTAGTCAATTCAGCATGTCCCTTAGTTTGTAAAAACAAACAGGAAATATGTTTAAACTGACACACTTAAAATGAAGGCAAGCAAGTCGGAGGGTTAAAAAGCAGAAACTTAGGAAGCTTGGATTTTTGCACAAATGTGGTTGTTCTGGTGTTGTTACTATTTTATGCAAACAGTGATTTAAGGATTATCATATCTATAGAGATTCGCAGTATACTGGGACGGTGGGGCCATTACGTTTTTTCTGGTTGATATTGACTATTTATTGGTCGATAGTGGATGTTTAGTTGTCTTTTTTTCTTACTCAAAAAAAAAAATTATATATATATTGTAAAGATTTGCAATAGTGGCCACAACATGAAAATTTATTTTTGGCTTGATGTGGTGAAAGTGACGAGGTTTACTTTCTCAGCTGGTTCTGACGTTTACATAAGTACTTTTTTTTATTATTATTTTGGTTGTACACTATCGTTCAAAAGTTTTTGTTTATCTTTTGAAATAAATTAATAGCTTTATGTAGCAAGAATCGATCAAATTGATCAAAAGTGACCGTGAAGGCATTTATAATGTTACAAAAGACTTCCAATTCAAATAAATGCTATTTATTTTGAACTTTCTATTCATCAAAGAATCCTGAAAGAAAAAAAGTATGACAGTTTTCGCAAAAATATTAAGCAACACAACTGTTTTCAAAATTAATAATAATGAGATATGTTTCTTGAGCAGCAAATCAGCATATTAGAATGATTTCTGAAGGATCGTGTCACACTGGAGTAATGATGCTGAAATTTCAGCTTTGCATCACAGGAATAAATTACACTTTAAAATATGTTAAAATAGAAAATGGTTATTTAAAGTGCAATAATATTGCGGTTTTTGCTGTTTTTGATCAAATAAATGCAACCTTGGTGAGCACTAAAGATTGCTTTTAAGCCTTAACATTTAATTGGAATTAGGGCTGCACGATTAATCGCGTGCGATATTTAACGCGCATCTTATCAGTAAAGCCGGTTCTGTAATCAGCGGTAAATCTCCATGCGCTGCTCATCAGTGAACAACGGCTCTGTGTAGTTAATGCTGCTCAATGTGAAAGCACGCAGGTGATGGAGATTTACCGCTGATTACAGAACCGGCTTTCTGACAAGATGCGCATTAAATATCGCATGCGATTAATCGTGCAGCCCTAATTGGAATATAGTAATAAATAGACATATTCCTTAATTCTCTGATGCAGTCTTCTTGGACTGTTATAGATGATGTTTTCACACCTTTTTGTCCATATTTTCTCCACCCAGTGTTCCCAATTCCTGCCCAGCGAGCCCTCGGGGTGCAGGTTCCTCGGGATACCGCTACGGGCACAACATCACCTCAGATCTCCAGCTGGCAGCAGAGTGCGCTGCCAAAGCTGTGTCAGAACAGCGCACTGAAGCCACAGGAGGAGATAGTCCTAAGGTAAGAGCCTTTAGCATCCTAATGCATGTCAGTGTCAATATCAGTGTGTTTGTTCCCAAAATTCACTGTCTACTATTCCTTCAGGATGAGTCCAAACCTCCATACTCGTACGCTCAGCTGATAGTCCAGGCCATCTCGTCTGCACCGGACAGACAGCTAACACTAAGTGGCATCTACGCTCACATCACCAAGCATTATCCCTACTACAGGACGGCGTTCTGGCGTGTGGACCCCTCATCAGAGTCCAAGTTGGTGGAGCAGGCCTTCAGAAAGCGCCGACAGAGAGGAGTGTCCTGTTTCCGCACACCCTTCGGCCCACTGTCCTCAAGGTGAGATGTCTCAGACCCCCACTAACTCTGCACGCACCCGCCATCACCTTATAACACTCACACTTTCTGATTTAATAGAAGCCTGCTTAGCCTATTCTGTTTGCCTTTTTATTCCCCTTCTGTCTGTTTCTTCACTGGGCAGAACAAAGTGAGTCTGTCACCTTTTTTAATTTAATCCGTTTCATTTGTTTGTTAAAGGGTTAGTTCACCCAAAAATGAAAATTGGCTTGTGTTTTACTCACCCACGAGGCATCCTAGGTGTATATGACTTTCTTCTTTCAGACAAATCCAGTTGGAGTTATATTAAAAATTGTCCTGGCTATTCCAAGCTCTATCATTGCAGTCAGCGGGTGTTGCAGTTGAACAGTCCACAAGTCGTCAAATAAAGCGTGCGCATTCATAATAAAACGTGCCGCAGTCGGCTCCGGGGGGTGAATAAAGGCCTTCTGTAGTGAATCCATGTAAGAATCCATGTTTTCTTTTTGTAAGAAAAATATCCATATTTCAAAAGTAATAAACACTTTTCTCTCACTTCCGGTATCCGTCATACGCAGAAGGTGATCCGGTGGATGACGCAGCACGTATGCACAGCGTTGTGCGCCTCTGAGGTACGCTAGTCTCGCGAGTTTGTTTATAGGAGCAAAGGAAGCAAAGTTTCCTTACTTCAGCAAAGGAAAACCAGTCTCCTCTTGGTTATAGGAGCAAAGGAAGCAAAGTTTCCTTACTTCAGCAAAGGAAAACCAGTCTCTTCTTGGTTTATATCGAAATCCTCCGACATTTTTCTTTGCAAATCTTCGGTTTGTACTTCTAATTCGTGACCGGCGTTTTGTTTTGTTGTCTCTCTGCGTTCGTTACTAATCACGCTGCGCATACGTGCTGCGTCTTCCACCGGAACTGCTTATGACGGATACCGGAAGTGAGAGAAAAGTGTTAATTACATTTGAAATATGGATATTTTTCTTACAAAAACACACGGATTCACTACAGAAGGCCTTTATTCACCCCCCGGAGCCGTCTGCGGCACGTTTTATTATGAATGCGCGAGCTTTATTTGACGACTCGTGGACTGTTCAACTGCAACACCCGCTGACTGCAATAATAGAGAAGGAATAGCCAGGACAATTTTTAATATAACTCAGACTGGATTCGTCTGAAAGAAGAAAGTCATATACACCTAGGATGCTTCGAGGGTGAGTAAAACACAAGCCAATTTTCATTTTTGGGTAAACTAACCCTTTAAGGAGTCATTTGGTGAAGCAGCATCAGTAACACCCATCCTTATGCTCTCTGCTTTTAACACTCTGTCTGTATAATCTTGCATTAAACTTGGGTCCAAAATTAACTGTCTGTAATGCATAATTTAAACATTGAATATTGCAATGTTTTAGTATTTTAGTAAGAGCCACCACTTTACCAAGAGACTGGCTGATGGGATCCTCCAAGACATTCACAGATTAATAATTAACTTATCTTAGGATCAACTAAGTCTATCAATGTCAAGAAAACTGTACCAGTGTCAAGCAATTGATACTTTTGTTCAACAAAGACGCATTAAATTGCTCAAAAGTGACAGTAGTAAATACATTTTTAATGTTAGAAAAGATTTCTGTTCCCAATAATCCTGATAATAATGTAAAATAATACAAAAATATTAAACAGGACAGCCGTGTGTGTGTATATATATATATATTTATACAGCAGTTCTTTCTGGTCCTCGAATCTGATTGGCTGATAGGAGTGTGATATTCTAGTGATAACGGAACCGTTTTACCGTTTGTATCACTCCGCTTGCGGTATTTCTTACAAATCCACTATCATTTTATAAATAATACTGTTTTGTGTCATGGAATGTAGTTTTAAGAGTTTTTAGGCAAGAATGTACTTCAAATATGCAGTTTGTTAATAAAGATAATGTCTGTTTGAAAATTTGCTTCTAAGTTTTCGGAGATGTGAGCTCCAGGATGTCAGCGGCCATTCAGCGCTCATGAACCCGCCGAGAGCAGCCTCACCTCGACCAGATCTTCTGGAATTTGCTGCTGGCTCTGATGTCTCTATAGTGTTTAAACATGAGATATAATTTGTTTTGGGTTCATCTAAAGGGCAGTCTTTGGTTACTAGATCTAAAGTGACATTTTCTAGTAACGGAGGCTTGGGCTCAGCTGTTAAACAGTCAACTTGAGATTTGAATCCAGTAGGAAGGAAGTAGTTCTGCACAAAATAGGGTTTTTAAAGACACTCCGTTGTTGTTTATGTATTTACACACTAACATTTAAAATTGTAGAGATTAACATTAGTCAATACATTATATAAGACAGGGGTCTCCAACCTTTTTTACACCACGGACCGGTTACATTTGGAAAATAATCCCGCAGACCGGCTGGAAAATAATTTTGGGAAAAAAAATTGGGAAAATAATCCCGTGGACCGGTATATTAGACCGGCTGGACATATATGCAAGAAAAAAAATATTTAAAGCATAGAGAATGACAATGCCGTGAAGTGTTTTTGACAGGCTAATTTTATGTGTATGTATCAGGTATGTATACGCAACTCGGTATTTCCGCGCTGTCAGAAACACATCTCTTATGCGTGCTTTGATTGTGTGCGAGAACAGCGCGTGAGTAACGAATTGAGCTCTCTTTCGTTTCTTCTTCTTGTGGTTTAAAATTGCTTGTACGTGTAAATTGGCAAATTAATCTGCGAATCACGTGCGTGCCGAACTGTAGGGTCTCATCCGTACGTATTACGGATCAACTGGGATCCGTTTAACTCCTAATATGTGACAGATCAGAGCAATCTTTCATTTACTTATTTAACATGAAATTGTCAAATTGCTACTCCATATCAATCGCATACAAAGAAAATACAGAATAATTAGAACAATCATTAACAAATAAAGAACAGAGTGTCATATCTATACACATTTTTCCCAGAACGTTCTTGCGACCCTGTAACAATTCTTCCACGGCCCGGTAGTGGGTCGTGACCCGGTGGTTGGGGACCTCTGATATAAGACACCTCCATCCAAAATCGAGTTGGCTAGTGAGGTGCCTCCTATTTAGAGGCTGTATGTTTACATTTAAAAAAAATTGTCCAATTTCTGCACCACACAAAGTTGTGTCAAAAATGGTTGTCTCCAAGCAGGATTGCCAAACCATTATTTGCTTGGCTCAAACAAAAAGAGCAGTGTTTTGAAAGCTTCACCCTTAAAAACTTCACACTCATTTCTGAAAGTGCACATTTAATAAACAATTTTTATGTTGGAAAATGTTCCCGTTCAAATTGTTCAACTTAGGCAGGTGAGGCAAGAAGTTATTTTTGGACCCTGCTTGGCGAGTAACGTCTGAACATGTATGTGTAGCATTCACAGTGTGTATGAGAGCTTCTGTGTGGCGTAAGACTGACACATCATTGTGCTGGTTTCAGGAGTGCTCCAGCATCTCCCACCCACTCCGGCCTCCTCTCTCCACACTCAAGTGGCCTCCAGACCCCCGAGTGTCTGTCACGGGAAGGATCACCAGTGTCTCATGAGCATGACTTTGGTTCTAAGCTTGCTTCTGTGCCCGAGTACCGATACTCCCAGAGTGCACCAGGTGAGCGTGTTTCCTTTCATAGCACTGCAGTACTGACTGACTGACTGCACGGCAGTGTGCGTGACTAGCAATGTTTGGATGTGAAGTCTCCAAATAGAAACAATACTAACTTGCCTACATTTTTCCAGTAGTGTGATAGTAGCTCAGCTGTTGTCAAAATAGTGGTGCTTTTCCTGTTTAAAAAAAATAGTATTTTTGTAGCTTGACCAAATTTCAAGTCAAATTTGTTTGGCACTTTTCCCAATACATATAATTTAAAAGAAGCTTTACACAAAATCATGACGTTAATGTTATTATACGTTGTGTTTATATGTTTGACTATAAACAATCAAGCATTTGTGATTTGTATAGTAGTATTAGGATATTTCGCCCTACACGAGTATACTAAATGTATATGCATAAAGTTGGACATACTTATATATATCCAACTTTATATAAAGAGCTGGGTCATAATATAGTTACATTTTGCAATGAAACAAAAAAAAACCAGGCAGTTAGGATACTGTATGTTGAGAAAGTTGAATATATATCCAATTTGAATATATATCCAACATACAATCATTGCAGTTAATAGTGTTCACCGTCTGTTTATTACATGTAATTTGTAACTAACTGCGTGATTTTTACTGTACATTTCTGCCATAGTCACCACTAATAACCTACTCCAAATATAATGTAGAAACGTAACATTTTCTGTAAAGCTGCTTTGCAACGATTTGTATCGTGAAAAGCGCTATACAAATAAACTTGAATTGAATTTTAAAAAGAGATGTGCAATAATATTTATATTTTGCAATGATATAAAACAGTTACAGGGCTGAGATTTGTTGTACACTATGTAATGCTTTACATGAGTATACTGTATATGTATGCAGGTAATAATATCCAATATTAATGTATCACTGGGCAATAATTTAGCAGTTGACAATTAAACAGATTAGATATATAGTATATACCGCTTAACGTGGATGTACTGTAAGTATCCGTTTAAGATTGGATGTACTTATAGTAGTTGTATAATCTTCTATTAATAATTAACTGTTTTGAGTTATTAATTTAAAAAGTCAAATATTTTTATTACATGCAGGTGATTTTTGGTTGTTTGCTTGTTTGTTGAATTTGAATAATGTATTCATGTTATCACTGTAATTGTATGCCTTTATGCCCGTTTTGTTTTGTTTTGGTTTCATTTGTTATGGTTTGGTTCCGTGTTTTTTGTTTGGTTTTGTTTTTTTGTTTTTTTAAATCTTTTTTTTTCTTTTTTTTTTTTCTTTTTTTCTTTTGTGTGTGTGTGTTATAACTTATAGTGAAGCTAAATACTTTTTCTATCTATGCAATCTTGGCAAGCTACTAATTCAAATTCACTTCTCAAGCCCTAAATATATTTTCTCAGACTCTCTATGATTCCTCTTGTCTCTCAGGCTCTCCAGTGAGCGCTCAGCCTGTAATCATGGCCGTGCCACCTCAGTCCTCAGCCGCGATACCCAAGCCTGTGGCTTACATGCCGGCCTCCATCATTAGCTCCTCCCAGGCCTCTGGTCAGGCCATCCATGTGGTGCAGCAGGCGCCAGCTGTCACCATGGTCCGTGTAATGACCACCTCGACCAGCTCTCCCAATGGCTATATCCTGGCTAACACCAACTCATCAAACTCTAGAGAGGGACCTGGAGATCAAAGAGGTACAACAACCCATTTCCTCTTGTTTTATTGCAGAAAACGTTTTGCAAAATCTACATGGATACCCAATCTTTAAAATTTGCACTCTCTGTGAACAGTCTTTCCGTCTATGGTCTGTGTAGGTGCAGTGGAGGAGATGCCTGTGGTTGGCAGTAGAGTTATTCAGGCTGTAGGGAGTCACATAAGCTTGGCCAATAGGGGGCAGCAGAGCTACACTGTTGTCCAGCAGAGTGCCATGCACCAGCTTCCTGTGCAGACCATTGCTCAGAATGGCAAACATGCTCTTCCTGTCACCAGTGTACCAGCCAGTGCTTACGGTATGTGTGCATTGTTCTGAAGCCTGTCAATTTGAAATTTACAGTGCATGGTCATTTTTGGTCACACTTTATTTAAAGGTCCAATTCTTGCTATCATCAAACCCTTAACTACGACTTTTGCCTCAATAAACTGCTAATTTGCTGCTTATTAATAGTTAGTAAGGTAGTTGTTAAGTTTAGGTATTGGGTAGGATTAGGGAATTTGAATATGCTCATGCAGAATATGTGCTAAGTACTAATAAACAGCCAAAATGTTCATAATAGCTATGCTAATAAACTATATAATAACTAGTTAATAATGAGAATTGGTCCCTATACTAAAGTGTTACCTAATTTTCTAACTTGCTTAAATTAGTGCTGTCAAACGATTAATCGCATCCAAAATAAAAGTTTTTGTTTGCATAATATATGTGTGTGTTCTGTGTATATTTATTATGTATATATAAATACACACACATACAGTATATGTTTTGAAAATATTTACTGGTCTATATTTATATTCATACAATTTATATTATAAATAAATATATTATATAAAAATAACATATTTTTCTGAAATATATGCATGCATGTGTGTGTATTTATATATACATAATAAATATACACAGTACACACACAGATATTACGTAAACAAAAACGTTTATTTTGGATGCGATTAATCACGATTAATCTTTTGACAGCACTTCTATAAATGCAAGGATCGTGACACGCTTTTGTCCGGATCTGTTAATTAGTTGAAAAATACATAGCAGTGCAATTCATACTTTCAATTATTTGTTATACAACCTTTTTATCATGAGTTTGTTTGTGATTCATTTTGAATTGATGAATTTTTCAGTTTATTTTTATTTATTTTTTTCTAAAACTAAACCACACAACTAAATTACTATAAATGTAAATAAAATTGAAATGAAAACAAAAAATGTATTTTTTAAATAATCAAGTTCAAAATATGAAAAAAAAAAAAAACTATAACAGTTTATCAGTGATACTAAAATAACAGTCATGTGATGTGACCAACATACAGGGGGAGGGACAAAACGTAAAATTATAGGATCCCTGCAGACCCTCATGACTGTGTGTCAATGGAAACAAGTCTTTTAAAATATCAGATTTTGGTATTTTCAGAATATATTTTTTTCTTTTTGACATGATAAGATTAGTTCAGGTTGTAAAATGTCATGTGGTGCCACTTCCCAAAAACGTACTGATATTTATGAAAATCATATGACTTTTAACATATTCCTGTGGACTGTAAGGTTTTTAATGTTAAAACAATATTAAAGATTACATTTTAAATATAAAATTTTGATCTAATGTAAAACCAAATATTACTTTTAACTTCTTGGTTGTAAAACTTTTTTTTTTTTTTTGCAAATTAGTTTTTCAAAATTTTGAATGCAAAACAATTGACGAATGATTATTACTTTTAACTTATTGGTTGTAAAACTTTTTTTTGGAAATTATATAAAAGTTTTTCAAAGTTTTGAATGCAAAACCAACATGAATAAAAAGAGTACAGTCTAGTTTTAAACTAGACTATAAATGTTTCTATTACTGGTCACTGACCTGTAACCAATTTCTTTGTGTTGTCATCTCTTTTCCCTCAGCTTTTACCAATCCTCTTCAGATCTTGGCTGCGCAGGCTTCAACGTCCCCACCTGTGCTGGTCAACAGACCCACCAGCATTGAATCCGACGAGCCCAAACCCAAACGGCCCAAAATGGAGGAGGACAGTGTCGCTCCAGTCCCTCAGCCTGTAATTGTTGCAATGAATCAAGAGGCCAGCGAATGAACGAGTGAGTGAGCGAGTGAGCCGACGACCGATCTTTAAAGCACATCTCGCAATATCGTTCAACATATTGAGGGAAACATGTTTGGTTTTCTTTAAAACGTTTCGTAAACGCCCGACACGGGTGACTGACGGAATGTCTTTGGAAGAAGAGGTTGTTGTTTCATGGGGGTAAATTCATTGAGCTACATCTGGCAGCATTAAAATTCAATGCTCACACAGTTTTAAATTTGTAGGGGTTGTTAATCTTGCAAGAATGTTTGAAAGAAGTATGAAGAGAGGTACATGTGCGCCCAGTTAGTTCCTCACAAGGTACAGCTGAGAGAGTTCTTCTTTTCGGGATGGGGTGGGACCAATACCTATGCAGCTATTACAGTCTGAGACCAAGAGTGTCTCTGAATTGAAGCGGTATATAAAAAGGGTCACAGGAAGCTGTGTGTCACTGCAGTTACCTGTTAAGTACCTTTGTGAGGATTTATTTATCTCTCTGTTTAAAAGCAAAAAGGCTGTCTTTAATGAAACAAGATTGTTACAACTCAAAGCAGAAATGAATAGATATAATAGAGGCCTTTTCTAGCTGGAGTCCTTTAACCTACATTATTATAGGCTAGTATACAATATATTTTTCTGTGGAGGATTCTTACCTTGCTTGCTTACTACAAAGAGAAATGTCTACAAATATGCTAATTTCTTAATTGGTCTATGTTTAGCGCAAAAATTAAAAAGAACTCGATGAATGTAAGTACCGTTTGTTTATTTGTTATGACTCATGGCACCCACTTTTGACCTAAACAATATATTAAACCGTTAGAATGTGTTTGTAGATACATTTTTTATGTTTTGTGTTTAAAAAAAATGGAATAACTGTAAGTTCATCGTATTTAAAGTAGCTCAGTCGTATCTGTCCATCACCCTTAAAAAGCACTTGGCCAAAATTCTGCTCCATAAATACCTTAAGCAACATAATCCCGATTGCATCAGTGGATGAATGCAAGCACACGATACGTTGCTGATGTATCTGATGTCAACCAAATGCTTTTCCAGACCTAGGAATGTAACTGTTCATATTGATTGTTGCAGGGGCTGTTTCTTCACTGACTTCCTGTGATCACTTAATAATCACAGAAGCCACTAAATGAATGTTCAGTATTTTTTCTGAGAGTTCAAGAACCTTATTTTTAAGTAATATACAGAAAGTCAGCCTTTAATGAGACTTTCTAGTTTTACTAAGAGGAGAGTAAATATATATTGTTAGAATTGTGTTTTCAAGACAATCACTAACAGGATTCAGTAACCGCTTTGTATGTTGCAAATTATACACACCACAGATGGTGAAGTGAAGTAGCTTTACGTGAGCTACCGATAGCTTCTTTGTATGCTAGTGTAGTCGTACAGTGACAGCCGTACAGTGTTGATTTTGTAGTAGAAATGGGAACTTTAACAGACCAAATACATATCCTCAACATTAGTGCCTTAGTGCTCCACTTCTTTCAGGACTAAATAAAAAATCATTGTGATGTACTACTTAAAGACAATAACATCAAACGTACCTACTAAGAAGTTAATTTGCGGGTTGGACACATCTTGTGATAAATGAACAACAGCATTCTGCCTGTGTAACAAAGTCTAGAGATGATGAATCAAGTTGTGACTGGAAACGACTGAGCAATATTGATAAAAGAAGACAGGAAATGAAATCTTGCTGGTTCTGTGTTCTTTTAAACTTCTTATAGCTCAGTGGACTAATGCATAAATCAAGAGGAATCTGTCCGTAAACAGAAAAGCCTTTTGGTGGATTTAAAGGAATAGTTCATCCAAAAAAAATGAAAATGTACTGACTCTCAGGTTATCCAAGATGTAGATGAGTTTGTTTCTTCATTATAACAGATTTGGAGAAATTTAGCATTACATCACTTGCTCACCAGTCGTTCCTCTGCAGTGAATGGGTGCCGTCAGAACGAGAGTCCAAACTGCTGATTAAAACATCACAAGTGATCCACAACTCCAGTCCATCAATGAATGTCTTGTGAAGCGAAAAGCTGTGTGTTTGTAAGAAACAAACTTTAGACTGTTTCTTCTGGCCATCCATTATATATAGTCCTCTATATATTATATTGCTTAATCCAGAGAAAGTCAGCAAGTGATGTAATGTTAAATCTGTTCCAATGAAGAAACAATTCAAGAAGAAATAATCTTGGATTGCCTGAGGGTGAGTGCATTTTCAGCAAATTTTCATTTTTGATTCAGCGGATCCTTTAAAAGCTTTGAAGCAACTATTGGATTCAAATGATGCAGATATCAATGCAAAAACATAGAGTTTGATCCTAATTAGTCTGATTGATTTGGGTCTTTGTTTCATGTATTCACATGGGCTTCAATAAACACAATAAATGAGAGAACCACTGTCCCACTTGAAGTATAATTTTATTTAAAAAGAACAAAAAAATGATTTGCCTGACAAATGAAAGAAATCCATATGTACATGTCTTTTTCTCTCTCTTCTTTTAGATCATTGTGGAATAACCAGTAGAATGGTGAAACAAACATTATCACTGTTATAATACACTTATCGTACAGAATTAGCTGTCACTTCCTAAATGTTTTTTCATCATTTTTCCACAATCTCTCAGTGTCTGTATGCATATATAATATAACCGTGGAGTATTTTATCACAGATTCAAATATTTTGTTTTATATCATTCTTTTTGTGCTTCTTGTGTTGTGCATATTAGCATATGCAAGTGTTTATACACTAAACATTTCTAATTTAAACTGATTGTAGGTGTTTCTTTCTCTTTTGACTGAAATATATAATCTGTTTGCATTGTACACAAAACACCCCCCAAATCAGTCTGCTTTGTGAGATCACGCCGTGCACCTGTAAATGTCTGCAGGTTTGTCTATTTTTTTATTGTGTATTCGACTACACAGTGTATGAGGGCTTTTCTTCTGTCCATGCATTTTATGCAATGGTGTATCTGGAACGAATAAAAATACTTCACTGGCTAATCTTTTAAATGAATCGGTGATAATGGCATCTTCTGTTTTGATTCCACATGGATGAAGGTTTAAGCATTGCTTTGTATGTCTGCCCCTCCACCATCATTTTGTTTCTTTTATCATTCATGTACAGTGTTGGGGGTAACGCATTACAAGTAACGCGAGTTACGTAATCAGATTACTTTTTTCAAGTAACTAGTAAAGTAACGCATTACTTTTTAATTTACAAGAGAATATCTGAGTTACTTTTTCAAATAAGTAACGCAAGTGTCTTTTTTTTTTTTTCCAATTTATTGATTGACAGCTCTCCTGTCCCCATGTTGAGAGAAATCAGAAGATGTTACTGTAGTTCTAAAATAAATATGAATATGCATTAATTCATCTCACTCACAAAACAAAAACAGATTTAGTATTCCTCAAAATGAATAAAAATAATGCAACTCAGAATATGACGCAAACCTGCAATAATTAAATGTTAAACAACACAAATATGCTTTATGTATTTAATCCCATTCTATTAACCAATGTCTTTGCTTCTAACCTTCGATGATCCAGTTCAACCTTACTAATAAGCACAAAAAAGCACTCTAGACAAACATTTGTGTGTTTTTTTATTGCTGAAGTGTGATAAAATTTCTTCTTCTGCATTCTACTGTACGGATGTAAATTTACTTTTCCTTCAGCCTGAGGCTTATTCATTTCACTTTTGGTGTGAAAAGGCTTTTATATTTGCCAAAAATATAACTTTTTTATTTTAAAAACAAACAAGCAAGCCCTGTCCAGGTTTAAAAAGTAACGCAAAAGTAACGTAACGCATTACTTTCCATAAAAAGTAACTAAGTAACGTAATTAGTTACTTTTTTATGGAGTAACGCAATATTGTAATGCATTACTTTTAAAAGTAACTTTCCCCAACACTGTTCATGTCATTTATTTTCACACATTTAAATCTTGCCGTCTTTATTGTATGCAGGGTACCTAGCTTGATTCGGTTTCTCAATTTATCACAATTTGCTTCCAAGTTGTATTGCATTAACACTCTTTATAACCCTGTGCACCAAAACTGTGCAAGTCTGTCCTGTCTTTAAGGCCTGAGCAGAACTCTTGAATATGCTGAAATGTTAACAGCAAACTATTAAAAAGTCTGAACTATAAAGTTTCAACTGCAGCCTGCTTGAACATGTGAAGAAGATCTCTGACACTGGTTTATTTAAGAACAGTAGGTATGAATTTGTAGTCTGCTATTGGCCGAATACAGCTTTGAATTTTACTGCATCCATGGAGTCTGTATAAAATTAAATAATAAATTAATGGCACATAAAACAATTTATTTCAATTTAACTCTGCTATATGTTTTACTGTTAAGAAAGTATTATGCATTAAGACTGCAATGCTTTTCTCTACTATAGGATTATTTTTATTGTAGCTAGTCCTTCAGTAATTTTGTTAGATGTTATAAGTTTTACGTTTAGTGTATTTCCATATTTTGTTGTAGAGAAGGTCATAAATATAAAACTAGATTTTTGAAAATGTTTCTCCGTATATTATTACACTGTACAATTATTGAGGAATTAAAGTACATTTACATTGATACTATTAAAAAAAAAAACATTACAATACACTATTTTTTTGCTTTAAAGTTTACTTTGAAGTGATTTACTGGTTGATTATTGCTTATCATGTAGTAAGTATGTGGATATTATTTGGTATGTAAGGTGAATTTGGACCAAACCCCCTTTTAGTCTTATAGTTTAGACATAGATGTATGTCCTATGTCGGAATAACTAGCATTCTACTCGTACTATTTTTCTATATACAGTTTTCATATGACTGTTGCTTGAAGATGTTCGATACATTAAAAAAAAAAAAAGATCCCCAAGATTTCGTTTGTTACACTATTTTGTCGCCGACTGGCAAAGGGGGAACCATATATAAATCATAAATCTACCGAAAGATAGGAATGCTCTACCCATATTATTTTGTACACATAGAATATTCTACTTAGTTATAAATATGATAGTCAACCATAGTATGAATATTGTATGCAAAGTCTACCGGTTAAGGCTAGAAGGGATACGTATGGTGATACTGTGCATGCGCACATCAATACAGCGTAATTTGTCACACTGTACAACAATAATTACTATTTTTTCATTATTGTAAGGGGTAGATTTAGGGTTGGGGTAGGTGTAGACGTTAATAAAACACAATGTAATAGGTATAACATTAATTTAATTGTTCGTTTCCGGTCTGAGCTGTATCCCTTCTAGCCACAACCAATTCTACCCTCCTGTTTGTTACACTATTTTGTGCCCGACTGACGCGGAAAAGCGGAACCATTTATTGTCATGTGATTTGTTGTCAGGACATTGTAGCCGACGGAGCAAATGTTTTGATGCTTGTTTTGTTTATTGCATTATTTTCAAAAATGTATGCTGCCGCGACGGAGAGTTTAATAAAGCAGGCAAGGTAAATCTATATCTTTACCTAAAATGTTTACTGTCAAAAGCTGTATTGGTCACATGACTGGTCAGTTATAGCCTATTAGTTAGACAAGTTATTCCCAATGACAAATCTTTCAATTCATTTAAATTTGCCTTTCAGAGAAATAAAGGAGGAAGAGCTGCAGAGGTTTTGTGGGCGCATATTTAAGCTGCTCCACACTAAAGATGTTAGTGGAGACACAGTGGACTCCCTCCAGAGGCTCAATCTGATAGTTTCTGCCACTAAATATGCGAGAGAGTGAGTCATATTCATTTTAAAATACATCTGAACAGCACATAGGCATGAACCCCTTTGTCTGGCCCTTCAGAAAAGTGTATTAAGGAGCATTTTAAGTGTATCATATACACCTCCACTACCTTCAGGCTTCCATCAGATCTGGTGATGAAGCTGCAGACGCTTCTTCGGTCTTCATCATGTCCAGAGCAGCTTCAGGTTCTGACCTCCTCCATCATCCGGGAGAGCTTTCCTTCCAGCGTACACAGCCTCTGCTCTGATCTCAGTCACGACAGCAGGACCTTCAGTCATGTGGCCAGTGTTGTTCTGGCTCAGGTGAGTCACATGCTGTTCACGATCAGCTTGTATTCTGTTCATAAACACTTAAGTAATCATCTAATTGTTCTCAGGCTGGAAATAAAGAAGATGTGATGCCTCTTTGCCACCATTTGCTGAAAAGTCTTGAGTCTCGGCTGTCTGACGGGCAGATATCCAGACATGCGCTTCCCATTCTCTCTAAAATGAGTACTGTTTATCCAGAGATTCTCACAGATGGTAAAGACAAGCTGATCACATTTGAGGAACACGATACTATATTGGAAGTGTCACTGGGAATTACAGTGGGGTCCAAATGTCAAGAGTAATGAAAATCAGAATGATAGTCCAAACGGCTGATAAAAACATCACAATAATTTACAAGAAATCCACACAACTCCAGTCCATCAATTAACATCTTGTGAAGTGAAAAGCTGTGTGTTTGTAAGAAACACATTTAACTTTAAATCATTGCTTCTGGGCAATATACAAATCCATAATCCATAATAACGCTTACTCCAGTAAAAAAAAAGTGCATACCCTGTTGTCCTCTCACATCAAAATCCACCAAGATATTTGTTTAGAACCGTGTAGGACTGTTTTCACTTGTAAACTGTGCTTTATCTATGCATATCTCTCTCCTGATTTAAACAAGATGACATTTTCAGTGGAGAAAGTAATATTATGGATAGACGAGTCATATTGTAGTTGGAAACAACAATTTGAAGTATTACAAGCTAATTTATTAGTTAATTGATGGTCTGGTGCCAGTTGTTCAAAAGTAATCTGATCCGATTTTTGCCATCGGATTGGTTCAAATC